GAATATGCTTTTATATACAGTAATATGCATCTGTAAACATAAACAAGCAGCAATTACTGCACAGACAGTAACAAAGCATGCACACAGTAAACAACAATGATGCAAATCAACATTAAACCCCTAAACCAGGTTAATTATCAAACCCCTCCTTTAAATGGGTGGAGCTAGACAGAGGGCTCACTCCAAAGGGGTTAAAACCAGGAAATGCTCTGCGGCCCTCCCCTTTAATCTGCTGCCGCATGGAGCAGGTAAGTTAGAAGAAAGGTGCCCTCTAGACAAATGAATAAACAGGTTTAAACTAGTGATGGCAATATGAAGCCCCATGAAGCCTTGAGGGATAGCAGCCTATTACTCGGCCCATGAGTCGAAGGCTCGAGGTGAATCATGCTCCACTACGCCATCATGTGGACAAAGAAATACATAACACTCAAGTGCTTACAATGAATGGTGAGATCTAATGTTAAAATGTATATTTACAATCTATGGTCTAACGTGTTGTGTTTGAAATGATGCTTCATGAACTATGAACTATTTGAGTCTTTCAGTCAATTGTGTTGATACAACAAACACATCCAAAGTAATACAGTTCTACAGAAAGTGATTAATGGAGGAAAAACTACCAAGAGGTGGATTAATTAAACACAACAAACTATTTATTCCCAATAAATAAATACATTTACTTTGCAACACAAAATGTATTATGGGTAGACCGGGATTCGAACGCTATATCTTCTGCTTCGGAGTCCGTCATAGACCGACTGCGCCACACAGCTGTTGTGAAATGTATCATCCAGCGTATTATTACTAATGACTTGAAGCCTTGATATATGAGGTTTTACTGATGTGAAACGTTTTTAATTGTATTTCATATGAAGTAGTTTCTCTATACTTAGTACAGGACTGCTCCACATCACGCACACACACACGTACGCACACAGAGGCAGACGGGGACAGCCAATACAGTCTATGGTACAGCCGCGGATCACAAAGCACCTGTCAAAGCAATGCACTCTCCGAACTATATGAAGCACTATATGAACCGTCACGTGGTGCGGCCGCTACGCGAGGCTTCGAACGTCACCACATACGTCACCAACACACGCCTCGAACCACGCTTCAAAAAATACGCCCCTTTTTTACTCGGTACACGCTTCGAAGACCCGGCACGCTCAGCACATCACTAGTTTAAACCTTACTATAGTGTTTGGTGTTTTTAACAAGCCAACTGCTGCCAATGGAATGTATGTATGTGAATGAGTGAGTATGTGGAACTGACAAACTTACACAAACAAGGCCCGGGATATGAGAGTGTATTTGACAGAACCTGTGTGTGTGTGTGGAACCAAGGGTGTATTAAGGGACAAGTGGAGTAAGACTCACTTCGTCACACTCCCCCTCCCTTACAAAAATTAGACCTCATATGAACGAGACAGGAAATCAGCAACCACATTCTTATTTCCAGGCCTGTATCGGATCCTGAAACAAAAAGGTTGCAAAGACAAATACCAACGGGTAATCCTAGCATTACTGTCCTTCATTTTGTTCATCCACTGCAAAGCTCGATGGTCCGTCTCAAGGATAAATTGATCCCCCATTAAATAATATTTCAAAGTGTCCAAGGCCCACTTCACTGCTAAGGCTTCCTTCTCAACAGTGGAATACCTTGTCTCTCTGGGAAAGAGCTTGCGACTTATGTATTGAACCGGTCTTTGGTCCTCACCCTCACCCTGCAGCAATACTGCTCCAAGTCCAACTCCAGATGCATCTGTCTGCACTATAAAAGGGCGAGAAAAATCTGGACATTGCAGTACAAGTTCTCTACACAAACAGTCCTTGATGTCTCTAAATGCGGCCTCACACTCAGGAGTCCATTTAACCTTGTTAGGGCTGGATAGCCTAGTCAAATCACTGAGAACAGCTGACCTTGTGGAGAAACCTGGTATAAAGCGTCGATACCAGCCAGCCAAACCTAGGAATGATTTAATCCGCCGCTTGGTTGTCGGAGGTGGGTAGGCCAGTAGTGCCTCAACTTTACCAACCTGGGGACGTATGACTCCACCCCCAATGATGTACCCCAAATACTCCACCTCAGTCTTAGCAATGTGGCACTTTCGGGCATTCATCACCAGTCCAGCTCTTTGAATCCTGCAAAACACATCTCTCACGTGCTCAATGTGATCTTCCCAACATTCACTAAATATCACAATATCATCAATGTAGGCTGCTGTATAATCGTCTGCATCCCTGAGAACCTCATCTACCAGCCGTTGAAACGTCGCCGGCGCCCCATGAAGTCCAAAAGGCATAGTCCTGAAATGATACAGCCCACTTGGGACTCTAAAGGCAGTTAAGTCTTTACAAGTCTCAGATAATGGCACTTGCCAATAGCCTTTGCATAAATCAAGAGTAGTGAGAAATTTAGCATTGCCCAGACGCTCAATCAAGTCCTCTACTCTAGGCATTGGATATGCATCAAAGGCAGAAACTGCATTTAGCTTTGAAACATTAACACAGAATCATTGTCTGGGGGCCTTCTGAGGTAGGCAGCAGAAGAACTTTTTGTCAGATTCAGATTCATTTATTTGCCATTTGCAGTAAAACCACATTGGAAAAACTGTGCAAGACTACCCCGGTGTGCGCCAGACAGAGAAGGCGACACACACCAGAGCTCTTGCCACGGCGCCATCTTGCCGGCGCCATGCGACAAACAGTAGAATAAACAGCAGAGCAATAACATTCAGGTTACAACAGACAGTTGGATAGAAAACATTGTGCTTTGTATAAACCACGGATTTTTTTCTCGGGATGAGCACCTCCGGCTGCCGGTCCAATGTGGCTGTCAGAGGGGGGCGGGGTCAGGGAGGGGGTGAGTCGGAAACACATTGAGGAGTGGAGGGGAGGGAGAGATCAGCGGGAGGCGGGGGGAGCGGGATCCAAGCTGGAACTGACTGAAAGAGTGTGAATTGTTGTAGAGACCAGATTTATTATTATGGCCTTGGCCCGAGGAATGTGAGATAAGAGTGGGGGAGAAGACACAGCAAGGAGAAAACACATCTTCCTGTAACGAGGGACAATATAGTATGCATTTTAGCAGTCAAAAACAGGCAGATATTCTATTAAATCCAATTAAACCGAATTACGGCGCCCTCAGACCCCGTACACAGGGGCAAATCCAAGCCGGGTCAGAGAGTTCAAGCGTGACACACAATGTCATTCAATCTCAATTCCAGAGTTTTATGCCCATCGAGTGAACGAGCTGCGAGATCTTTGATCAACTGTTCCACTAACACCACTCTTCGTTGTCCAGCCACAGCGCTCTCAACCACGACTCGGTTAAGCTTCTTGTACATCCCATCAATTTTGTTGGCCAGCAGGTCATGAATCTTGCGAACTGCCATGCCTCCGAATTTGTGGTAGAAGAGAACCGCTCCAAACCCAAACAGGAGGATCCCCACCACCAAAAAGCCAAAGATATATACGTCTTCCGAATCTTCAATAGACAGGGTCGACAGACAGAGGGGCTGCCACTTGTTCCAGCTGTCAAGCGCATAACCCGCTGGTGAAGTCCCGTCCGGGCACTCGGGCTCTCCAGACCCACGCTTACGTGTTGAAAAGATAGAATCAATTGCGTTGAGGGACCAATTTACCATTTCCATTCTTGCTAAAAGTTGTCTGTGGCAAAACTCCAGGAAAAAGACAAAAACAGGAGATAGCAAGCAGTCAGAAGCAGGAGCGTCTGAGACACGTCTATGCTCGACGGAGGCGGAAGAGAGAGCTTTTGTCCCATTTTAAAGGAACGTCTGTGAGCTGCCTTGTCATAGTTCAGCTTCTGTTTTTGCTGAGCTTGGGACAAATGAGAATTAGCCAACTGCTGAAACTCTTCCAATTTGTCTCTCATTTTCAAAACATAGGCCAAACCACTACATGGTACCTCAGGATTTGGGGCTTCCCAAGCGTCTTTCGGTACATCCAGAGGTCCACGTACCACATGTCCATAGAGCAACTGAAAGGGGGAAAAACCTGTAGAGGCCTGTGGCACCTCCCTATATGCAAATAACACAAAGGGCAGCCATTGGTCCCAATCAGCCCCTGAGTCAGACACAAACTTTCTCAACATGGACTTAAGTGTTTTGTTGAATCGCTCCACAAGACCATCTGTTTGTGGATGATAGGGAGTAGTTTTGATCCCTCGAATCCCTAAGAGTTTGTACACTTCCCTGAGAAAAGTAGAAGTAAAGTTAGTTCCCATGTCTGTAAGGATTTCTTTGGGGATTCCTACTCTGGAAAACAGTTGAATCAAGCAGTTAGCAATCTGACGAGCCTTGATTTTTCGAAGGGGAAAAGCTTCAGGATATTTAGTGGCATAGTCACAAATCACCAGAATATATCTGTGGCCTGAACTACTCTTCTCCAATGGCCCTACAATGTCCATAGCAATGCGTGAAAAAGGAACATCAATAATTGGCATTGGAATTAGAGGTGCTCGATCCGACCTTTTGTTCGGGGCAGTAAGTTGACATTGCGGACAGGATTTACAATACTTGACAGTGTCCGAAAACTGATTAGGCCAGTAGAAACGAGGTACCATTCTGGAAAAAGTCTTAAAATGTCCCAAATGTCCTGCCCAGGGTACAGAATGAGCTAGTTTTAGCACAGTAGGCCGGAAATTCGCTGGAACTACTATCTGATCCCCAACCTTGCTACGTCTGATCAGTTGACCATCTTTTACAAAAAACACTTCTCTCACTCTGTCTGTGACTTCCGTGTCATTAGAAACACATTTAGCAAACAAAGGAGCTAAAGTGGGGTCCTCACGCTGTAGTTTAGTTAGATCACTGGGAATGACCATAAGCTCATCAGTTACTGGTGGGGAAACTGTCGCAACCATTTTAGTGCCTTTCAGTTTGTCTTGCCTCTTTTGGCTTTTACTCTTTGGGTTTTTGGAGCTCACAATCCCTGGCACATCAGAGTTGGAAAAAGGACACTCCCATTCACAGTCACTATCCGCAGACACCTCCCTCTGCTGTTGAGCTGACCTGGTGACAACAGCCATGCTCTCCACTGTTCTAGGATTGTCTTTGTCCTTTGCGATCAACTCACGCAAAATGGGCAAGTCCCACCCCAATATAACTTGGTAGGGAAGTTTGGACATAACCCCAACTGAGAGAAAATACTGCTGGCCCTCAACTTGAATGGTCACATTAGCAATAGGGTAGTCCATATTGTCCCCATGAACACACCAAACTTTCACTGTACCACTAAATGTGACATCTCTAGGCAGACAGTCTTCTCTAATGAGGGTGCGGCTACTCCCAGAGTCTAACAGAGCCACATGAGGTTTGTCATCAATGATAACACAGACAGTTCTTTCATTATCATTAAGTGGAGACACATCTCGCACAATCTTGGATTGTGGGGCAAAACACATGTACGTCTTACTGACATGCTGGCCTGGACACTCAGATCTAACATGACCTGCTTGACCACATGAGTGACATACCACAGGTCCCTTGTGCTTAAACTCTCTAAACCTAGGGTTAGGCTCTGAATACCGAGGTATAGGGGCTTTTGGTCTAAACCCACTCCCACCCACAGGTTTACTCACTACAGGTGACTGAGGAGAAGCACTGGCTCTAGTCGATAAAGAACTCTTGAAAGAGCGGCGCGCTGACAAGAATGCTTCCGCCAACTCTGCAGCTTCCCTTGATGATGAAGGGTTGCGCTCCTTGATCCAGGTTCGTAGATCCGAGTTAAGCACTCTCAGGAACTGCTCCAGCACGATCGCATCACCAATCTGCTCCTTGGTCTTGTCTCTCGGAGTCATCCACTTCTCATAGAGATCCTTCATCCGGCACTGCAGCTCCTTGGGCGTCTCATCTTCCTTAACAACCGTAGATCGGAACCGCATCCTGTAGGTCTCTGCACTGATTTCGAACTTCTCCAAAACAGCTCTTTTCACCAATACATAGTCCATAGTTTCAGAAATATCCATAGCCACATACGCTGCTCGTGCCTTTCCATTGAGAAGTGGGGCCAGGTGCAAAGCCCAGTCTTCATGTGGCCACTGGCAAGCTGTGGCGATCCTCTCAAAAGTAGTCAAATAGTGTTGAATATCCTCATCTTCCTGATACGGCTGCATTTTAGGCCCTTTCCAACTGGGAATCCTCACCATAGCTGGAACATTGGGGCTTTCTGCTTGAGCTGCAGGTGCTGCACCGACCACCACTGGAGGAGTCTCTGGACGCTCAGCTTTAACCTCCTGCTGAAGCTGATCCACCCGGCGCTCCATGGACTGCCACCGGTTCTCCTGCTGTAGCTTTTCCTGCTCCCATTTTGCATCGTGCTCAGTTTGCTTCCTCACCAAGCCCTGGAGCAGGTTTGCTATGTCCGCCATACTTGGAGTTTGTGGATCATCACAGAGGGCCTCCGCTCCTCCATATCCATTTTCCTCTTCATCTGCAAGGCTACTCACTTGAGGCTTACGCTTTGGAGCCATCTTCAAAAACTGGATCCCACCGCTGCCACCATTTGTGAGGTAGTGTAGCAAGAGTGGTCAAAGTGGCAGAAGTACAAAACAAAGGCTCCAAATCTTGTACCAAAAAAGGTGGATTTATTTACAGTAGTGATGTGCTGAGCGTGCCGGGTCTTCGAAGCGTGTACCGAGTAAAAAAGGGGCGTATTTTTTGAAGCGTGGTTCGAGGCGTGTGTTGGTGACGTATGTGGTGACGTTCGAAGCCTCGCGTAGCGGCCGCACCACGTGACGGTTCATATAGTGTGCGTACGTGTGTGTGTGCGTGATGTGGAGCAGTCCTGTACTAAGAAACTACTTCATATGAAATACAATTAAAAACGTTTCACTTCAGTAAAACCTGATATATCAAGGCTTCAAGTTATTAGTAATAATACGCTGGATGATACATTTCACAACAGCTGTGTGGCGCAGTCGGTCTATGACGGACTCCGAAGCAGAAGATATAGCGTTCGAATCCCGGTCTACCCATAATAAATTTTGTGTTGCAAAGTAAATGTATTTATTTATTGGGAATAAATAGTTTGTTGTGTTTAATTAATCCACCTCTTGGTAGTTTTTCCTCTTCATCACTTTCTGTAGAACTGTATTACTTTGGATGTGTTTGTTGTATCAACACAATTGACTGAAAGACTCAAATAGTTCATTGTTCATGACGCATCATTTCAAACACAACACGTTAGACCATAGATTGTAAATATACATTTTAACATTAGATCTCACCATTCATTGTAAGCACTTGAGTGTTATGTTTGTCCACATGATGGCGTAGTGGAGCATGATTCACCTCGAGCCTTCGACTCATGGGCCGAGTAATAGGCTGCTATCCCTCAAGGCTTCATGGGGCTTCATATTGCCATCACTAATTTACAGTGCTCCCAAATGTACATGTTCTCTCTCCAAAACCAACATGGAAAGTGCCTCTCCTCTCTCTAGAACAGCCCGCACACCTGGCATATATACATGGCCTAAATTGACTGGCTCCTCCCACTCGGCTGGAATATGCTTTTATATACAGTAATATGCATCTGTAAACATAAACAAGCAGCAATTACTGCACAGACAGTAACAAAGCATGCACACAGTTAAACAACAATGATGCCAATCAACATTAAACCCCTAAACCAGGTTAATTATCAAACCCCTCCTTTAAATGGGTGGAGCTAGAGAGAGGGCTCACTCCAAAGGGGTTAAAACCAGGAAATGCTCTGCGGCCCTCCCCTTTAATCTGCTGCCGCATGGAGCAGGTAAGTTAGAAGAAAGGTGCCCTCTAGACAAATGAATAAACATGTTTAAACCTTACTATAGTGTTTGGTGTTTTTAACAAGCCAACTGCTGCCATGAATGTATGTATGTGAATTAGTGAGTATGTGGAATTGACAAACTTACACAAACAAGGCCCGGGATATGAGAGTGTATTTGACAGAACCTGTGTGTGTGTGTGGAACCAAGGGTGTTTTAAGGGACAAGTGACAAATAAGGACCTACAACAAACACATCAGGTCTGAGTGACAAATAAGGACCTACAACACACACATCAGGTCTGAGTGACAAATAAGGTCCTACAACAAACACATCAGGTCTGAGTGACAAATAAGGACCTACAACACACACATCAGGTCTGATTGACAAATAAGGACCTACAACAAACACATCAGGTCTGAGTGACAAATAAGGACCTACAACAAACACATCAGGTCTGAGTGACAAATAAGGACCTACAACAAACACATCAGGTCTGAGTGACAAATAAGGACCTACAACAAACACATCAGGTCTGAGTGAGATATAAGGACCTACAACATATACATCAGGTCTGAGTGACAGATAAGGACCTACAACACACACATCAGGTCTGACCACAACCTATACGCTCCGCCTCCTCCTCCACTCACTCTGACCACAACAAGGGGTTTTATGCCCAAAATCCATTGCACTCACAGTGGACGCTAAAGCTGAGCATACAGTGTTTGCTAATGCTTTTATAATATGTTTCTGATGTGGATATTCGGACTCAACATTGACAATAACAGCGCTCACACACCTCTCTCGCTGCTCCTCCTCTTCCTCCTCTGCTCACACACCTCTGTCTCCTCCTCCTCACACAGAAGATGCAAGTATCCATCTCTCCGTACACTGGGCTCATTCCCGTTACTTTCTTCGTTCCTCACTCAGACCCAGACACTGCTAAAGTTATCTGACAGCTCCGTTAAGTTTGTTTCGGAGGACCCGCAGCGTACATAGCTGCCCTCGCGCCTGCCTGTTTACAAATCGCTTTTGGTGAAAATTTGACTTTACTTGTATAATAATGTACTTTTGATCAAAAGAAATCACAGAGGTCCAGAAAAAGGGGTTTAGGGGTCCGAACTTGGCGCGCAGTCCGCCCTTTGGGGACCCTTGAACTAGTGTATTATAAAAAATAAAAAGGAAGGAAGATTGCGAGGCCCTGTGCGACGGCACAGGTCGCACAGCCCCTCCAACGGGCCTGCACCCGGCATCTTCACGGGAAGATGTATCTTGTTTAATGCTACTGAATGAAAAAGTGTTTGGGTTGTATTCTTTTCCTCCACTATATCCTTAATATAAAAGGCCCCTCTGAGGTGATTTTCACGTCTGGCCGGAGACATGTTGATGTGATGTGTGCAGAAAAATTGAGTTTACATCTACAAAGCTAGTTTTGTCTTTACCCAGTATGATTGCTACTTTACTCAAGCTCCAATAGAAACTTTAGATTACAAATGATCAACCTGTTTGATCTGGCCAACGATTTTATTCCAAAAGTCTGAGGATCAAAAGAATAAATCAAAAAGATTTGTGTTTGGGATGGATATGTTTCTGCTTCTACTGTATATATCTATTTATCCATCCATCCATCCTTCCATCTATGGACTCGGACACTTCCTGAGGCTCCATAATCCAGCTCTGTGGTTTGACTTCATACCAGTTATGTACGAAGTTACAAGACAAAACACACTTACATCAATGGAAACAGCTGCACTTCATACCAAATAATTGCATTTTATTTTCAGTATAGTCTTTGGATGACACACTTTAATATAATATCACTTTTAACGCAAAGCAAAACAATGTCTAATAAATATTTTGACTTTGCGTTGGAGATTTGAAGTTGGCCCATGACGTACAATTTGTATCACCAAAAATAAAAAGACTTCTCCCCTGAACATTGCTTATTCAATGAAATACATCCATTTGTTTCAAAAGATGCATTTCATTATTTTCTTTTAGACTTTTCATGAACATGACATTGAATCACCATGGCAACAGAACATGGCGATGTCATTCTGTTTGTCGAAGCGGAACATTCTATCACCACAGCAACCAACACCATGTCATCGTAACCATGGCTCTGAAAAGTTCATGTGTGTGAAGAAAGACAAGACAAGAGACTTAAACAAACCCGAGGGAAATCGAGGATCAAAGCCTAGATTGACAAAGCAAAGCAATCGATACAACACTGACAAGATGTGGTGTTTTAGAAGAAACAGGAGTAAAAAGGAGCTTTACAAAGCCATGGTGGACAATTTGGTTCTTGCGGAGGAATCAAACCAGGCTTTGTTGGCTGAGGTCAAGAAACTGAAGGAGGAGAAGAGTGTCCTGGTCAAGGCTCAGGAAGAGGAAACATGCAGACTGAAGGAGGAGAAGAGTGACCTGGTCAACGCTCAAGCAGAAGAAACATGCAGACTGAAGGAACAGGTGACACAGCTGCAAACGGAGAAGTCTGCGCTGGAGAGGGACTTTTTGGAGTCCACCGCTTTCAACAGGCACCAACTTGACACCACCCTCCAGGAGAAAACCAGCCTTGAACTCTCGCTGCAACAAACCACCGCAGTGCTGCAGACCGTACAGCAGACGCTGAAGACTTTGGAGAAGCGTGCTGAAGAGGACAGGCGAAGGAAGGACTCCATCATTAAAGGTATGGACACACATCTCTCAAAAGTTGACAATGAAAACATGAAAACGTTAGAAGTAATAAACTTTTTTCTTCTAGATGCTGAACATTATATGAAGGAGCTGGAGACCAAAATGCAGGACCAGGAGATGCACCTGAAGAAAGGTAATTATTAGCTGGAGGAAAAATTGCTCAGGCTTCTCAAAGAGATGGAGGAGTTTAGAGAGAACTTTGTCCTGAAAAACTCTGTTTTTGCAGAAATGGAGGAGGAGATGAGCAAATGGAAGGCTCAGAAGGCGGAAACAGAAAAGCTGAAGGAGCAGGTGACACAGCTGCAAACGGAGAAATCTGCTCTGGAGAAGGACTGTTTGGATTCAAGGTCTTCACTAGAGCGGTCTCAGTACTGTGGTGGGGTCTAAACCCAGACTGGAACATATCAAAAGAATTATTCATTGTTAAAAATTCAGTAAGTTGTTGGGAGGCCACTTTTTCAAGAATTTTTCCAATGAATGGTAGATTCGATATGGGGCGATAATTTTGAAGTCCCGCAGGATCCAGACTGCTGCTTTTTTAGGAGAGGTCTTATGACTGCTGTTTTTAGGGCCATAGGAAATGTTCCTGACGACAGAGACATGTTTACTATTTGTGTCAGTGAAGGTAACAAACTGCTCAGGACGGACTTCAGAAATTTAGAGGGCAATATATCCAGGCTACATGTGGAGGAGCTCAGACTCATGATTATCTTTTTGACAGTTTCAGTATCCACAGGTGCAAAGTGAGTTAGCTCAACAAGCTTCTCTGGCTGTTGCATTGTTATACGTGCTGTGGAGGTGATAGTGTTTTTGATTCCTTGTACTTTGTCATCGAAAAACTGTGCGAACTCATTACACCTAGATTTAGAGGAAAATTCTAGGGGCAACTTTACAGGGGGGTTCGTTAATCTACCAACTGTTGCAAACATAACACGAAAATTGTTACTGCAACCTCCAATAATGTCAGAAAAATACATTTCTCTTGTTCTACGTAGAACCCGGTTAAATTCACCCAACTCATCTTT